AGACCTTTAGTAAATGTGCGAAATATATACTAAGTCTAGTTAAGTGTCACTGCCCGGTATGCTCTACATCAATATTCTTTTAAGGTTCAGTGTCACTGCCCGGTATGAATTACATCAATGTTTTTTAAGGTCAAGAGTCATTGCCAAGTATGCATTTATGCTGTGATGCATACTTGACATGCGATGCCAAGTATGCATCGAATAAATAATAATATCAACGAATAAATTAATATAAAATCGGTTGTAACATATATTACGGACATTCACCAAAGCGACTATGTGATTGTGGACAATCACCGGTGAAAGTCGACATTTTCTTGATTTCGGTCATTCACGGTAACATATAGTTTGTCTACTGTAAGAACTCCCCCCGCCACAAAGTCTGAGACCGTCTGCTGCTATGGAAAGAAGAATAGCGCTTTTCAGAGAGGGTAGCTTCTCTTCAACTCAAAGGCTAACACAGAAGACTTATCCTAAGCAATGACTCCACACCCCTACTTGAAATAATTACTACAGTCACCGCCACGAGTCCAGACGAATGGCTAGGAAAGTTCCTACTTTAGATAAATTATGTATATTGCACTCACCTTATGCATTTACATACATATAAGCAAATATTATTGCCAATTTGGCTAGATGTAAATTAAAATATCAATGAATATCGCTCAATTATAGCATATTTTTGTCAAAGAGTTCATTTTCGTGTAAAACTCAAATCCTACTTCTATTCAAGACTTGTTTTATTATGATTTCTTTTATGAATAAATAAAAGCAATTAATTTTAAAATATTAAAAGTTTTTCATAAAATTTGGAATAATGAAGAGTTAAAAATTTAGGAAAAGCAATTAGAGAAATATTTCTTAAAGAAAAACGCATGATTATAAAAAAAAAAGAAATCGCCTTAAAGGTATTAATTTCGCCCTTAGCAAACTGAGGGTGACACATTTTTTAAATTGGTCACTACAACCAATGTTAAACACTTTTCACGGTAATTTCCTTTATTTATTTATCATTTACTTTCTCTTTCGTTTTAATTTGCCTTAAAAATTCAGTGAGTGTTACGCATCAATGACATAACAACACTCGATAATCCATGAAGTGTGGCGCGTGGCCTGCACTACAACATTTAAAGGAACACTAATTGCTCTTAATCTTTCCACCTCGTATAAAAAGGCTTTCACAAATTAAAATGACACCCAACCTTTAGATTTTTTTTAAATAAAAGAAATAATCATTAGGTGTTTTAGGAACTCGAAGCGGAGACTACCATGATTTTAAAAGTAATACATTTTTGTTCTCTAATTATAAATCTGTTTTGTACTTTTCTGGCTTTCCTTAGTTATTTAAATTTCGATGCTCAAAGAGCTTTTTTATACCTTTTAATCAATTTAGTTTTTGCAATTAGTGAAGAAAGTTTAATATGTAAGTATGTTTTATTTAAGGAATCTAATATTCTATGGCTTTCCTTATTTATTTTAATTTACAAGTTCATAAAGTGGTTCTTTTTTCAACTTGTAATTAATTTAGTTACGAAGAGGCTTGCTAATTCGCTTTAAGACTTATGAATTAATTATTTATCAATTAAATTATAAAAGGCTTTCACAAATTGAAATGACATTCAACCTATAGATTATTTTTTTTAAATAAATAGATAAAAGAAATAATCATTAGATGTTTTAAGAAAGTGAACTTGAAACAAACTACCGTGATTTTAAAAGTAATACATTTTTATTTTCTTATTATAAATGTATTGTGTACTTCTCTAGCTTTCCTTATTTAATTAAATTTTGATGCTTACAGAGCTTTCTTATACCTTTTAATTAATTTACTTTTTGAATTAGGGAAGAAAGTTTAATATGTAAATATGTTTTATTTAAGAAATCAAATATTGTATGGCTTTCCTTATTTATTTTCATTTTCAAGCTCATAAAATGCTTCTTTTTTTAAGCTTGAATCAATTTACCACTCTAAATCTAGTAGTTATAAAAATGTTTATTAAAAGGATTGTTAATTAGTTATCTTGTAGGCATCTAAAAGGATTGTTAATTAGTTAGTTTTAAATTTAATAACACAAAGGTTTTTAAAAATTAAAATGAGATTCGGCCTATTAAATAAACAATAGATGTTTTAAAAAGTGGACGGCTATGATTTTAAAAATATTATATTTCTGTTTTTTTATTATATATTGCTATGTGTTGTATTTCGAGAATCTAATTTTCTTTTGTAAAATCTCTTTAATTTTTTTCTGGTTCTTCTTATTTCCATATTTACAAACCACGTTTTTTTTTTACTTCATAATCAATTCAGTTAACGAAATTATGAAAGAAAATGATAAAACCCAAGTTTTTGAAAGAAACTCGACAAGTATTTTATATTCTATTTAAATGCTTTGTTAATTTATATTATATTTTATAAGTCACTAAATTTTATCTTAAACTAAAACGCGGAATTTTTTTCTGTATGCTTTCAGTATTGATATAATTAATTAAACCTATTATTCGTAATTTTTGAATAATATTTTGTATTATATGAATAACAATTGCATGAAAATATTTCTCGAATGCAAATTCAAATAATAACCTATATATAAGTAAATAAAAAGTTGCGTCTTTTAATTCTGATCTTAATTGGGCAGTAGGAACAGTCACTTTCATTAAAGTGGGTAAGTCTTTTTAGAATTGAAAAAATTAGTCTATTTTGGGAATTTTTTCAGCGAGACAGTGAAATAAAACAAAATTCCACCTTAAGTTCTTCATTGCATTATTAAAATTGTAATAACGAATTTTTTTTCAAAGCGATCGAAAATAAAATGGTGACTGTACTCATTTTCTTCGATGAAGCTTTACTTTTTCAAGCATCTTCAATATTTGAGTGAAAAAGAAAACTAACATTTTTTTTCTTTCTTCCGATTTTATATGCGAATAGTTCATTTTTTATTTATTTACTTTTGATACATCAATATTTCCAATCAAGATAGTCTCAAAAAAAAAATTATTTATTAGAAAAAAAATTCCAATAAAAGGAAATAAGTTATCAATCAATGAAAATATAGTGATACCGGTATCTAAGAATATTATGAATATATTTTAATGAGTTCGTTGTTCCTTTATTTACGATAAATTAATTATGTTATGTATGCTTTAATTATCTTGCTAATAAATGCTATTGATTCAAAACCTATTTTTTAAAAAAAAATCCTATTCATCAAAGAAAAAAAAATTAAAAAATAGTTCAGGGTACAAATGATAAGAAAACAAATCTGCCACACATATATTACATTAAAAAATGAATAACTAACTTAAAATAATAGTAATAAACAAACAGAAAACCAAGTTCTGAACAAAAAATTGTTGATAGAAATAATTTCACAGTTTACAAATTGCTGCCGTAACGCTCAATTAAAAACAGTGTTTCTCACCCGTGAAATTTGATTTCTAAACGTTTTCCTTTTATTTATCACGATGTTGTAGATCAAAGATATCAAATAAAAGGAAAAGATGAATTTGTTAGTGTTGAAGAAATGTTAACCTCAAAATATAAAAACATCTTCACAAATATTAAAATAACTAAATTAAAGGTCTTTAACGCAGGTTCCATAGTCGACTCACCAATGGCCAACCATTTACATTGTTTGACACAAAGGTATCACAATCGGTTTAAAACATTAATTCGATGAAAAAGTGAAAATTACAGTGGAATGAGAATTATTGTAGATGATAACCAAAACTGCAAAATTCGTAGCTGTGCGCTTATAAAAAACTTACTAATGCTGTTTAGTGTTTAATGAATCATTCTGTGTGCTCATTTAATGAATCAATCTATAGTGTTTAATGAAGAAATAAAACATTCGATTAATCGTTCAAAAAACACTAAGTTAAAACGAGAGCCATGATGGTTCACGGGATAGAGCGTTCGCCTTTCTATGAGGTGGTTCCAATCCCAGTGATGGCTGGTCGATATGAATTCCGCACCCGGCTCGCACCGACCGCAGTGTTAACGTAAAATGTCCTCAGTGGTAGACGGATCGTGGGTTAGAGTCCTCTTGACATCAGGCTAGCCGTGGAAGGTTTTCGGGGTTTTGCTTTCCATATAATGCAAATGCGGGTTAGTTCCATCAAAAAGTTCATAAGTTCCTTTGTTTTCTGGAATGGGTTCAAAGTTACAAGGCTACGGAGTTGAACATTAGTGGTCATAAACCCAAAAAATTGGGTTGGTTGTTCAACGATGGTTATAAAAGAAAATTAAGTCCAAGCTATATTCAATTACGCCTACATTTCTTACCACCCCTGTCACACCATCGCTTCTTGAATTTTGTTTCATTCGCATGAATGCCGATTCCCTAATGGACGATATCAGTTCTGCACCTGTCCTTCATTTTGCTTAGAAATGTATCCTACCCTGATTTTCCGCTTTCGGCCGTCGTTGTTCCCCTCGGCTATCACAGTTTTTCTTGTTTTATTTTTCAAAATTTATTTTCCTTCCTATTTTTTCTTTAGAAATTTTAATTTTTCTTTTTTCAAATTTATTTTGGTTTCATTATTCTCGTCTAGTGGGTCTTGGGAAAAAGCGCCTTGTTTTTGAGCTCTCGAAAGATATAGATTTTTCCCACTTTAAGTAATTCTGAAGCAAATGAAGTTTTTTTTCACTTGAGTTTCTTAAAATTATTCATTTCAAAACAGCAAAATTTCAGCAAAACAGCAGAATTTCAGCAAAAAATTCAAGAACTATTTTCTTATCGGAATAAAAGACCACGTGCCTTATATATTTTTATGAATGTGTTACAATATATTGAAATTATTATTATTAATATATTGAAATTACAATCAAAAACTTTTTGAATGAACGTTGTTTCTAATTTAGAACGTGAGGTGGCGACTTTCAGTATGTGTAAAAATTTGAGTAATATTTGCCCCATCGCATTAAGAGGCTCTAAACAAAACAAAAACCAATTAAACGTTGTATTGAAATTAAAAAACTAGTAACTCAGAGTACCAAAAATTGGAAATATCAAAAACAGTAGAAGTTTAATTTTGCGTATTTATAAACTTTTGAAGCTTCTAAAAAAAATCATCAAAGCGGGATTTTTAATAGAGGTAAACCTTAAAAGAGATTGATTACATTAAAAAAAATTGGATTAATAGTTTTTGAGACATCAAGCTGACAATTTTATAAAAAAATGATAAAGAAAGGATTGAAAATCCATAATGCTATGACAAAGCTGCAGAGTGTTCTATAACCACCCCTCTTAATAAAATTTTTTAGAATCTCTGTTAGAAAAGAAGACGAAAATGTTCTGGGGCTAAATACTTGGAACATCCTGAAAAACTTTTGATCTAATAATCGGGTTCTTTAAATAGCGACATCAGACACGTAATTTTTTCTGAATAAACATATCCTTTTTTTCCCGACAGATTTGTTCTCTTGACCCTCAAAGTATAGAGAGTATCTTGAAAATATGGTTCCAATTGTTTGGTCAGGAGAGCTATTGAAACTTAGGGCCCCTTTTTAAATGTTAATTTTACTTTTTGCTTATTTCGTCACATCTCAAGAACTTTTTAAGCAAAGTGAATAAATTTTAACCACAATTATAAAATTCGTTTGTCCAAAAATAATTTTATGCAAAAAATAATTTTTAATAATTACTTATTATTTTTTACTATTTTAATTAATAATAGTTTAAAAAACTTTGAATCATAAGGTATACACATTTTCACATCATATTAAAGAATGTAATTTTAAATGGCAGAATACGAAATGTTAATGAAATGCGTCGAATAGTTCTCGAAAAATCAAATTTTAAATATAAGACTGTTTTAAAATTTTATAACTCAGAAACTATTCGACTGATTGCGCATAAATTTTGTATTTTGTCACCAACCCTTTTATAGATGGTGCTATTAATAAAACCACTCAATTGTGCTGTTTGCATATAATCTGTGGTGCTACAGACAACGATACAAAAATCGTACCAACTTTTGTAAACGTAAGTGTATATGAGGCTTAAGTTCCTTTTTGAAAATCAGTTAATTCCAAAATGTTCATTTTCCCAGAAAATTAACAGTTTATTTGCAATACTTTCTACGTTCTAGTTTCTAACGATCAGAAAAGTGTGCTCGGGGAAAAAATGTGCTATTAGCGTCAAAATGCGAATATTTTCTAAATCACTGTTATTTTGAAAGGAACCAGGATTTAAACTTTTTCATGCTCCACACTTAAAACAATTTTGTATGGATTCAAAATAGCACCATTTAGGGCTATTAAATATCAAATAGTGCTTGCAGCTTTGACACCGGAAATTTTCCAGGACCTCTGAATTAGTAAAAAACCGTGTTTCAACAAGCATAACAAAGTTGTTGTTGATCATTTCTGAAGACTGACAGGGCTAAATTCGGTTCATGTGTATTCCTAAGAAAATAAATACCAACACAAGATGGTCACTGACCCGTGGTGGCTTGGGGGATAGAGGGGGCTTTCGTGGTTTTTCTCTCCATGTAACACAAATGCGGGTTAGTTCCATCAAAAAGTCCTCCACGAAGGCAAGTTTCTCCCAATACTTGTTCCAGGAGTTCCCTTGTCTTCTGGATTGGGTTCAAAATGACAAGGCTACGGAGTTGAACATTCGTAGTCGTAAACCCAAAAATTGGGTCGGTTGTTCAACGACGGTTATAAGAGCATGCAAGATCTGGGGAAGCCAATTTACAAGAACAATTGGTGCAAGGAGTTCATGCACTCAAATCAAGTGTTATAGAGACCCCCGTCTTATTGAGTATAAGCTTTTCCCCAGAATTGTGGAAATGGATATTCCTTGAAAAAAACATGAAGATATGTAATTGCATTCACGATAGCTCATTCGGTTTTTCTTTCAGTTTGTGTTGGTGTCCATCTTAATGGATTCCATAGATATAAAACAGGCCTTAAAGTATATATGTCTAAGATTTCAGATACCCATTGATGAAGTAGGGAGTTTGATCCTGCCTACTGCAATCAAGTGTTAAAAAGCCGTCTGTTTAATACCAACAGTGTAACAGGCCAGTTGATTTTATTTTTGAGTTTACTTTTGGAAAAAAAGTGCCAAGGAAGTCCACAAATTAAAAAAGTATAGCGAACTCTGGACGGCTACAGGAATCGATGAGATTAAGGCTCCACAATTTCGAGACAAACGCATTGAAAATTGCGATCACCCATGTACACAGACTGCCTATATTTCCCATTCTGAAGGCTAGGTCGCTGAGCTGTCAGAGTGCCTGGTTAAGGGTTCGAATCCCGCTCAAGGTAGGGATGTTGTTGTGTTGTTCGCTGTTGTGGGACGTGTGAATGTGGCCCACCCTCTGAACGGGTATCTGTGGCAGTGTGGCGTAGGTAATACTGCTCACTTCCTTAATTTAGTTTCACAGGTTCCCACTGGGTAACGTTAAGGAGCAGCACTTCTGGTACTTGAGAATATCGAATGTGTTCAGTGCCTGTCCTTAAATAAAAAAAAATATTTAAAAGTATTTTCTATTCCAGCAGGCACTTCTGAGAAAATTTCTTACCGTTACAATAAGAGACAGAAAATGAATGTTATTTTGCCGATGACTGACTATGAAATATTAAATTGTGTTAAGACTTTAGATACTTGGTATTGCTTAGGGCAGTTACTTTGACTGAAAATTTTATTTCCAAAGGTATAAAATAGCCCTGAGTACAAAATGTTTTCCCAGAAGCGTAGGAAAAAGTATAAATTGAAAAACATGAAGATATGTAATTGCATTATCGTGATAACTCATTCGTTTTTTCTTTCAGACTGCGTTGGTAGCCATCTTAGTGGATATTGTTCTCGGAAGTCACTGGCACCCAGAAGATAAGGTAATTGTTTTATTAGTAAAACGACTCAAGTAGGACAAAAAGTTTTATTTGACATTTTTAATAGATATTTGTTTTGTTAGTATAACGACTCACAAAAGAAGAAAAGTTCCTCTTTACATTTTAATAAGTATTTGTTTCATCATTAGAATGACTCACAAATTACAAAATGCGCCATTTTACATTTTTAATCAGAAGTTTGTCTTATCAGTAAAGCAACTATAAAAAATTTATATTAAAAATATAATAGAATATCCTGTAGACATATAATAAATAAAAAATATAATAATATATAAAATATAAAAATATATAATAACATAATAATATGCAAAATATAAAATACAAAAAATATAATATATATAATAAATAAAATATCCGGATTTTCATTTTAAAAATAATAAAACAGCATAAAACAAAAATTTAAAGACTCTATTTTTTAAGGAGACTAACACGGGGGAAATAATTTCATCTCTGGGAAACCTAAACAAAAAAAAAGGAAAAAGAAAAAAAAAAAAAAAACTAAAGGGCACATTTGTTTTTGAAAGACGTGAGAGAAATTTTTGGTGGGGAAAAAATATATTAAAAATAATGCTCGTTACGCTTTTCGTTTTAGGTGTTATTCAAAGTGATAGGGGTTTCCATTAGCAATAAGATGACCATACATTTTTCTTACCTCATTTAGGAAAAAATTTTAGCTTTTGTAGGTATTAGGCAGAGAGTATACCAGTAGAATTTGGAACAATCTAGCAAGTTAGATATGAATTGAAATTACGATTTGTGGTTAATACTATTTTGAAATATGAATTCTGATTGTAATTTTCAGGAGACAATTGAAACTTGTATTGTGTTTCAAACTGAGCTTCAGTTTAAATTTAAGCACTCTATCTTGTCAGACATTCGCCGAGGTTTCGATTGAAAATAAATGCCTTTTAACGATAATACGACTATAAGTTCTGTTTCAGAAGTCCACAATGAGGGTACAAAGAGGAACAGGTCTCCATTACTATTCTGGAGGGGGATAAATATTTTACACAATTTTATAGTTTTAAAACTTAGAATTACATTTATTAATATTTTGAACTATTTGAGGGGATAATTTTGGTATATTGCATATCATAGTTTAACTATTTGGTAAGATAATTTCGGTATCTGAGGGGAGATAATTTTGAAAATATTTTTTGGTGGGGATAATTTATGTACTGATTTAACTATATCAGCAAGGCAAAATTTAAAAATCTCCTAAAATAACAAATAAAATAAGCTCATATACCACTTATAGCTATGTTTTAGGGGAACAAGAATTCTTAGGGATGGTGGGTTAGATTTCAAAGTACCTTTTGGTGGGCGATACTTTTTTTAGTGCTGATTATTAATTTATTCTCAACTCAAAATTTATGTAATAACAGATGCACATTTATAAGCAGTGGATTGGTTGAACTAAAACTTCAGTTTAAATTTTTTTGTAGGAGGGGGAGTAAAACGTGATTATTTTTAAAACTGTTTTTATTTGGGTTATTATTTTGAGGATATTTACTACAGAATCTTTATTATATCCATAAAAATCTCAAATGAATCTAAATTTTTGCACAACAAATTCTTATTTTTTGTAACTGCAGTGTTAACAAGTATCCTTTCAAAGAAGAGGAAATTGAAAACAATCAGCGTACATACTGGGTTAAACCATAATGTGGATGCTTGACTGAATGTAAACAATAACAAACAAAGTATAGAAAACTTCCTGTATATGCATTCGTTTATGCTACGCTTACGAGGCGATGCGCGAAAAGGCTTAATATTGTAGGAAGTTTTATAGATTCTGGATTATAGATTCTAATTTAGGCGAAATTTTACCATTCATAAGAGTTTTCTGTAACTCATAAATTCTAACAGGTCGTAAGCCTAAGACAAATTTAAGAAAATGAATATCACAGCATAATGAAAGTGTAAGGTTAGTCATGTTTTGATTGATATCCCTTATTTGGCTATATTTGTGTCAAATAGCACTGTTTGCTATTTTTTTGGGTAGCAGCATCATAGCAAGCTTGCGGAGTCTTCCGAATTCATTTTTTGTTTGTTTCGTTGGATGTTAGATTGAAAGAACGCGTTATATTGAAAACACTACAAGCATAATATTGGATGGTGCATTTTTTAACGCTTAGACATGAAAATCAGCAGGCAGTAGTAACCCGGAAATCTTATGATGAATTTTAACACCTAGCTCCATCTGCACACGGCCAACCATCCATAGGTATATTGCTCACGAAGCATTGCACGCGGAAACCAGTAACCCCATAACGTGACTCGTTGACCAGTTTACTCCTTTTACGAACCACACATAGTTATTTTTACCAAGAAGGTTTTCATAATTTATAATCGGACAATGAAACAAAAAGTCAAGTTTTTATCTCTCGTCTCTAAAGCCAGTACAAATTATAAGATCTAAATATAACGATTGCTTATAACTTATGAATTACATAAGCAATTAGATAGAATCTGATCTGTTGGTGTTATTTAATTTCAATTTTTATAGTTTGCAGTGGCGATATGCAGTGCCCCCCCCCAATCTCTTGGGCGCATTCCTGGGCAAATTCTAAATCCCCCCCCCAAACTATTCGTTTTATTTAGTGTAAAAATCCCCCCCCCAAGCTTTAAGTGGGCGCATCGTGCGCCCACCTCCCGCCCTGGTGGGGGCCCCTGGCGATATGAGTTTACTACAAACATTCAACTTAAAATTATTCATCGTATTTCGTTTATGTTGTAACAGATTGAAATAACTCATTTCATTTTCTGTAATTATGAGCAATGTAAATTTTTGCTAAAAAAAAAACTGTTGCTCAATTACGAAATACAAATATGTAATGCTATATAAACACATTTATTGACTGAAATTACAAATAATTTACAGTTTTAATTTAATTAAGCTTGTAATTTATGAACTATTTAAAAATGCATTATTCGACTTTATATTATTAAATAATTAAGCATATTTTCTGCGTACATATTTTTAAGTAACAAATTCTTGAACTATGATATGCAAAACAACTTCTCAATGAGAAAATTAGGGCAGAATTAAAAGATGCGAATCAAAATATAAATGTATTTATTTACCCGAATAGCATGTTCTTCAAAGTCATATTTAATTTTTAAGTTATAAATTGTTTATTGGAAGTTATTAATGTTTGTTTAAAATACATATTCTAAATTTTTGCTCAACTTGTTAAACGCTAGCGATAAAATATACGAATGAAAGCTGAATAATCGATGCTGGGAATATTTATGCCATTTTTTAATTTTTAAAAAAATTTCGTCATTGAGGGCAGTCAACGTTTGTTTGAAATTTCGCCGTTATGAAGAAAAGGTAAAATTCCTGTTACCATCTCAAAAAGCATTTATGACAACAGAAATTTTTTTTTCTATCTATTATTATCGTCCAAATAAGTAGCCAACATTACAACAACGTCACGTGCTGAGGAGATTATTGATACAGGTGTTGGTTTGAAAGTGAGTGTGATTTCACCATTGCGAGAACAATCTACTTATATTATTAGTCTATGGGTTAAACTCTAAAAAAATTTGGCAGGAGAATTAAATTCAAGTAACCAGTTTACAAAGAATCGAAAAATATAGCTAACAATGATGTCGTAAAGGATCTTAGACCTGTTGAATAGAGACCTGTTGATTTTGAGAAGTTTCATGTAACCACTTCACTTAATCAACCGATTTTTAAGGAGGGATTTAATAAACATATGAAGTTTATAAAAAACATTCTCGTCTTACTGAAAAAGGACTTTTTCAAAGGAAAAAACACTGGAAAAACAGCACGGATTAAAAGCAAAGGAATGTAAAGTATTGAAAAACACACGTGTGTTTTTCTTTCCTTTGCCCTGGTACCAGGGAAAAACATCGGGATACAAAATTGAGTCTGAATTATTAAATATTACGAATTAATAAAACATTGATGAATTTATTAAATATTATTTTAGAATTAATTGATATACAAGAGGTAATTTTAAAGCTTACGGAAGAGAACGTTTTATATTTTTAAATAAGTTTGAAAATTTTTTATGTAGATGTTTAGGTAGATACTTTATTTACGCCGTACTAGAGCGGCACAATGGGCTATGGGCGACGGTCTGGTACACATCCCTGAGGATGATCTGATGACATGCCATCAATATTTTTGTTGGTCACTTTCTCAATTTAGATATAGATCTAAAGGGAAAGGAATAGCAATCAACTGCATAGCAACCAACCACAGGATTTTCGATTCTACAGATTTCAATAGCAGGTATATCCCATTTTGTGGGCCAGTTTTGGATTGGAATTGTCTTTGGAAACTAATGTTTTTCAAAACATTTCTAACAGTGATTCTAATGAGATAAATCAGATATATCTAAAAAATTGTGTCCAGTGGACTGATCGTAAGGACACGGTTCCCAGTAGGACACCGAAGTCAGTAAGTGGGTGAGTGACTACTTTGATCAGACTGCATAAGGACCGAGAGTGCATGGTATTGATCCTCGTTAAGCTGTTCTACTGTAAAGTGCTCGACTTAACTCGCTGGTTGTCGTGCTACCAAAGCAGAGGGGGACCATCTTTTGTGGAGAAGATCAAAATTGCGATGGCATATCTCCGGTTCGACCTCAGGGATGTTTCCCAGACTGTCGCCAATAGCCCATTGTGCAGCTCTAGTGCAACGTAAATAAAGTACCTACCTAGCTAAATAAATTGTAGTCGGCGAAATAGGGGGTGGTGCGCACCTGCCTTGTCCAATTAGCCTGGGGGCACTCCTGCTGTTTGTAGCGATCAGGAAACGATAGGAACATGAGGCACAATTGATTGCCCTCAGGCATGGAGTTTGAGTTCTCTCGGTTAAGTGATCGACGTTTACTTGCGATATTCCATTTTTACAGACACGAAAACAAATTAATAAAAATATAGTTAAATCGATTATTCAATACTTTGATGTGGTAAGAGAAAATTTTATAATCTTTGTAAATATTTATAAATAACAGCTCTATGCATTTCAGCATCATCATGCACCACAACCTTATAAATTTGGATATGAAGTCAAGGATAAAGAAGGTGCTCAACACCGACATGAGGAAGGTGATGGTCACGGTAATGTTAGAGGCAGTTATGGCTATACCGATCATAAAGGACTTTATAGGGAAGTTCATTACATAGCAGATAAAGGAGGCTTTAGAGCTGTTGTTAAAACCAATGAACCAGGAACTGCTAATCAAAATCCAGCAGCAGTACAAGTTCACGCAAATCCTCCCCACCACCACCACCATGCACCACACCACCACCACGCACCATACCACCATGTTGAAAATCACCACGGTTCTCATTTACATAATCTACACCATCACCACGGTGCTCATCTACACAATCACCACGTACCATTTATTGGCTACAACAGCAATTACTTTGCTCCTCTGCACGGATACAGTTACAATCCTTCCATATTCCATAACTATGGAAATTGGCCGTTTGCGAATGATAACAAATACCATCAGTTTCACAAACACGCTCACGAATACTCAGCACTGAATGACCATCACAAAACGGAAGATCCTCACCATTTCAACCACTTCCATGGCTTCAATGGATTTAATTTTGATAAGGAAGGATTTGGTTTTGATAAGGAGGGATTCTCTGGCAAAAATGGTTTCGAAGAAGCATACAAGGGACTTAACTTTGAAGCGGACTTAAAAGATGGAAAGCATAAAAGTTGGAGGTATGGACATGGTAATTTTTAATCATGGAGGCACTCATCTACATTATCGCTTATTTATTACTTTCATTGTAAACGCATAATTTCATTTATTTCTTGATATTAAAAGAATTCCGGGAATTAAAAATCCTTTAGGATAATCTCCTAAGTTCTTTTACCATTGGATATATATATATTAAAAAAAAAGCCGTATCAAAACTTTGAATGGGAACTATCCCTACTAATTACTGAATAAATTGCTCGGATTTTAAAACTAATAAACAGCTTATATATGTACTGACTTTTCAAGCATTAAAAATTTGGATCAAAAGCGCTCTTTTCATAAACAATAACAAATTAATAAATAGTGCAACAATAAATAAATAAATGCCCGAACATCCTTCCTTGTTATTTACGATGAAATTACTGTTCTGTTTTTAATGATAGTTCTGTTGTGAGGATCTTGTTGTGTAAAAACTGAATATTATGTTGATCTTGTATATTATTTCTGCCTTAATAAAATAAAATAAAAAAACATTTCTCAAATTTGATTTTTAATTTATATAAGTTTCCTAATAACCTCTCACGAGATTTAAAGTTTGCGCCATTTGTGGAATAAACTGTCGCAGAAAATAAATAAATAAGACAGTATATTCAGTGTTATTAAAAATTTAACGTTACATGAAAGAACAACGCGTTTTCATTGTTGAGTCTTTTCCTTATCGTTACATTTTCCATTTAAGTGGTTAGAAATAGCTACCCAGATCATGCGATTTTACATCATTTGACTTAAGAAAAGCTCAGAAGCACCACATTTTGAAGGAGGAAATTAAGGTTTACGCCAACAAAATTTAGTCAAGAAGACCATTTAAAACTTCGGCAAAATGGAGCATATGTGTCAACAAAGGTGTAGATGACCTCGATCAGCTACATTAATGTACATTTAAAACCAGCCTTAATTGTGTATTTTACAAATCAAAATTCGTATTTTCTTGCATTATCAGGCATGTAAAAGATGAGTGCTTTCGTAGATGTGCTTTTAAATTTCTTGCCTTCATATTTTCACTTCAAGAAGAGAGTCAAACATAATTTATTGTATTGCAGAACAGTGCGACAAGCTCTTTACGAAAGATTATAGCTTTGCGTTTCCATAAAAGATGCTTTTATGGTTGAGACTAGATAAACAGCAGAGAGCATAATTCATAAATCTGTGTGATCAGTTTTTTAAGATTACTTCCTACTACTTAAATTCGGCTAATAGTAAAGTATGTAACATATGTCAGAAATAGTGCATGGTTAGAATCTGATGTCTATAATGACATTGTTTTAATTTTAAAAATTATGCGTAGGGAGTTGCGGATAGTCATAGAAGAAGGAAGTCTGTTAGTTTCTGTCTTGATTTTCAAATAGATTAAAAACTTTTAATTTAGGAAACTATGTAGAACTAAAAACTGCATTAAGCATAGCTATAAAAAAGTTAAGTCGTTGAAATGTTAGAAAGTATTTTTGATAATTAAATAATTTAAATACAAAAAAATATAATGGAATGGGAAAATATCGTAGTACATCCCTATACAACTGAGAAGAGGAGGAGAGAAAATGGTATAGACATGGAACCGGTCTTTTCTCTAGGTAGCGCTAGCGTAACATACATCTTGTAGTAAAAGTTAGTGATTAGTTTCTCTTTACCCTTTTCTTTTCTCTGTCCTCAAGTTTGTTTATTTACGTTTGAATGAAGTGATTCACTATATGTGGATATTTTGTAAGTGTTTTATTGTTAATTAATTAGTTACTATTCCAAAAATCGGTTTGACATGATAAGTTACTTTTGAGGGTGTTAGTTCCTGTACGCTTTTCACTGTTGAATTTGATTTTTTTTTTTTGCATTAACACAGGCTTAGCAATCTTTAATTAAAAATCTATCCTGGAAAAAATGAACTTTCTGAATTACTTAAATAGTGATATATAAAATATTTAAATATTGATTTTTTTAATGAAACAAAACAGCAATGACTTTTTTTCTGTTCTTTTGTGTGTATGTTTCTATGTTTCGAATTTTTATGTTTACGAAATATATATGATATACTTAATTCGCGCTCTCTATTTAACTCTTATTTTGCAATTGGTTATACACATACAATTGGTAACCACATATACATTTGTTATACGACATACCTCACTTTGTTTGTTGTTCACGTATTATTACCAGTAAAAAACCCATTTCTGAGGCTGGTGCCCAGATTTTGTGAATAGAATTGATTTTTTTTCTTTTCCAAATCAAAATTCATTATGTTTTTAGCAAATATATTAAATAAATCTCAAAAATTTTTTGTAAAACTTTTCTTTATTTTGTGCAATTTTTTGTGAAATCTGAATTGAATTTAATTTCAAATATTCATGATTTAAAGAAGAAAAAAAATACTTGTTAGATGAAGGACAAATTGTTTATTAAATGAGTTTCACATTTTATTAAAAGCATTTCATGTAATATTATAGTTGCCTTGATAGCTGCTATCCAAAATCTTCATTATATGAGACTTTCATATTTTGATATTTGTGTATGAACTTAAAATGTTAGAAATAAAAATGTTTATGAATGAAATTTTTTTTTAGCTCATCAACATATTTATTCTCTATGATGAAAATACTTCACAGTAATATAAAAGTTCCTTAATAAATTATTTCTTCTATATTGCCATCTACTGTAATTAATAGATTTGAGCAAATTCAGAAACTTTGTTATTTTAGTGCTCTTTCTGTTGTTACTCATATCAATAAATGATTGAACTTTGTCATAAAAGAACTTTATTCATTCAACAACTATTTGTTATTTATTCTTCATTGCCTGGATGAAAGGCAAACCTGCTTGTGGAATGCTTCTCTGTCTAGTATTTTTATGACCTAATCATTTTAAACATTATGCCGATTCCTCTTCTTCTCTGTGCTGTTAATTTTATAAAAATGTTCCACAGTTTTTAGAAATATTATGCAGGTATAAAAAAATTTTAATCTAGTTAAATATTTTTGCATGCTGAATCCCAATACATGAAGTAAACTAAATGTTTAATTTCAATAAAATAACTATTAAAAATAATATTTCAAAACTATTATTTCTTAGAATATATCAATATTGTTTTACTCATCAAATTTTTTATATCTTGTAACTCTAGTTTACTTTTCGATAACTTATAACTTTAAATATAGAAGCCAATGATTTATTATTTAAAAAATATTATTTTCGATTTAAATTATAATTGAGATGTAGGATTTTATTTTTCCTGTACAGAAAACATTTTGCATTATGTTGCGATTGATTCATTTTAGCGATTTACTTCTCTAATTACTAAGAGTGTTTCGATTAAGACTGTTGGCATCTTGAGATGGAAGTCAAATGTTTCTGAGGAGTGGAGTAGAGGATACACTTGAAACCTTTGGTCTCGGTAGTCAGTAAAAGTCTTCTGGAAAGTTCTAAGGGGCGGTTCATTACAATGAGAGGTCCCTTTGTTTATTTCTGAGGCTTTTCTTTGTCAAGTTATTGCAACTTTACTTTCTCAAAACAACAACTCTGCGCTTAACTAGAGTGACAAAAATTTATGCAAAAGGAATGCATTTCCCACCTTTTTTTTTCTTTTCGTGTTGGAATGTGAATTCATTTTATGAGGAATCAGAGGAATGGAGAAAAGAGAAAAAGGTTGCTCTTCCTAATTCTTGGTTTGCTACTGGACAGTGACATAATCTTAAAGTACATTCGAAGGGGGTTATTGGTTATCTTTTTCTACATATATATATATATATATATATTACTGTGAATGACCAAAATTGGTGGTTGTTACTTCCATCGGTGAATGTTAACAATCATAATTGCTTTGGTAAATGTCTGAAATATACTAGGTCTAGTTAAGTGCCTATGCCCGTTATGCCGTACATCAATGTTTTTTTTTTAAGGTCAAGTGCCACTGCACAGTATGCATTTAACCAGTACTCTGAACACTGATGTTTCTCCTAATCTTACCTCAGCAGATATTAAAATATTGAATAAATATAATATTACCACCTAATAAATTAATATCAAATCAGGTATAACAAATATTTCGGACATTCACCAAAGCGACTATGTGGTTGTTGACATTCACTGTAACATGTATGTTCAACCTAATATAATACTACATATAATAATATTCTCTCTCTCTCTCTCTCTCTCTATATATATATATATATATATATATATATATNTTGGTGAATATATATATCAGGGGTCTGTCCAGGCCAAATTTACTACAGTTTAGCTGTAACTTCACAAATTCAACTTTAGGAAAAACGTTATAGTTTCACAAAATACTTTTTCTTACAATTTTATTTTTGTATCCCGTAATAAATGATAAATCCATATTTTTGTGTTCATTTTTTAATATAATTTTTAATTTTCACAAATTATGTCTTAATTTTCACAAATTAGGTACCTCTTAGGTAAACCTAATATATATATATATATTACAAAAAATGAATAATGAAAACTTTTTGATGCCTACATCCTACTTACCGTACAATAGTTCATTAATCAAATACTAGTATATAATTTTTGAGGGGGTTCATTATCTCGAGAAATATCCATTGTACCAGAAATGTATTTATAGTCTTGTAAAATATTTTCAAAAGACGTATTAATTTTACCAAACTTGATCCCACGAACTCATCCCCAGAGTGTAGGGCAGAGCGAATCCAAAATCTTGAAAAAGGAATCCCCATTTATTAATACAGATTTGGATTTTCCGAAAAAGTGCTCCAAATTGATTTATAAATTTAAACCTTTTGGTTTACATATGAAACTGCAATAACAGAATGAACTTCTTAACTTGACACACTTTCTCCCATGCTGGTGGATGTTCTCATCATGGTAGTGTATATAATAGTTGTTTTCTTGATAAGTATAAATTAGATAGAGATAATGGTGTTCATACTAAAACAAACACTTATTCTTGAAGTATCTATAACAAGAGTTTTTCCCTTAATACTGATTTAACTAGACATTATGGTGTCCATATGGGTTGAAAATCTGAAGGTTGTAAATGTAAAAAATGTTTTCTCAAAGTGATACTTTAACTGAACACTTTCTTTTCCACACTGAGGAAGGGGCGTATTCCTGTAAAGTAATAAGGGCTTTTTACAAAAATTTTATTTAAATAATCACAGTCGTGTTTATACAAAAAAAAAAAAAGAAAAAAAACTGACTTTTTATATTGTAGAATTGCTGTTGGAATAAATAAGTAACAGTGCATAATAAGCATAAAAAGCTCCAGCAGTTTGACTGTCTTCGTCATTAAACATAACAGTTCAATTTAGTTTATATACCGAGAAGAAACTGATTTACTTTTTTTATGCTATGCGATGTGGATATTCGCAGAGCCTGAATACGCAAGATCGTGGAAACCCCATTTGCCGAAGATTTGGCAGCATCGCGGAAATTTTTTTACTATTACTAAAAAAGAAAATATCCGTCTCTTCAAGGAAAGTTTGTCTTTTTTGAATTCCGCAGAGAAGAAGGGAAAAAAAATTATTTTTACTGTTTTTCTTAACAATGCAAATGCGATTGAAAATTGCATTCACAGGATTTAAAATCAGACATCACGATTTAAGAGGGGGCATCGTGTTTTCACGATTTTATACCAAATATCGTGTTTCGTATTCAAGCCATTTAAAAACTACTATTATGATTCGTATTAATGCGATTTTTTAATGGTGCGTCGAGATTCGTATGAGACAAAGAAAATTTAGTAAAAATTGAAAAAATATGACAATCAAGGCCTACGTCATCCAGCCTTGTATTGTCACAAAAATGCAAAACTCTTTCTATCGAGAAAGCTAAGACAAAAGTCAAAAATGCTTTCTCTGTACCCCAAAAGTTATGCCCCGATCCAGAAAAAGAATACAAAAATACAAGAATAAATAGTGAAATATGTAATTCAATGCAGTTTAAATTACAGAAGCATAAAACAGTAGAATAATATTCTAAGTTTTGCATTTTTGTGACAATTCAAGGCTGGTACCCCCTGATGACGTCAGCCTTGATTGTCATATTTTTTCAATTTTTACTAATTTTCCTTCATCTTATGTGTTTTATTCCTCTTGGTTTCTCTGTTGTTTAGCTTATTTTTTTCCTCTTGGATGTTATATTTATTTTTTATAAATTTTATTTTTATTAATTGTTAGCATTACTATTTTGAATTCTTTTCTTAATCGAGATTCGTACTTATACCATTTTAAAAAACAAACTTCGAGATTCGTATTCAAGCGATTATAAGAACAAATATCAAGATTCGTACTCACACGATTTTAAAATTAAACATCGAGATTTGCATTCACTCGATTTTAAAATCAAACATCGAGCTTCGTACTCACGCGATTTTAAATTAAATATCTAGATTCCTATTCGCGTGATTTAAAAATCAGGCATTGAGATGCATATTTTCCCACAAATTGAAGAAATAAATAAAATCTCGCGACGATATTTATATTAAAGCGTTCGTAAAATAATGTGGATAAATGCTTCCTACATACACTTTTTTTCATGTTCAAATTTAAAAAAATGTTTTTGTCCATACAACGTTTCTGGATTTCTATTTTCAACTTCTTTTTTTTATCTATTTATTTTTTTTATCAAACCTTTCCCTGTGGTATGAATCAATATAGAGTTCTATAAAAATCAAACATTTTCTTAAAAAATCCATGGTTTTCAAACAAATTTCGCCAAAATGAAATGGCGACGAAAGGGTTTAAACTGAGTTATTTCAAACAAGAGTTATTCAATGCGTGAAGAAAGTTTTTTATTTGGAAATTTGTGTTCGCAGAAAGTTTTTCATTTTATCGAACTCTGGCTATTCGGTTAGAGGACTTAAGCTGCTTATTTGTAATCAAAGCCTCCAGCGTGATCAATAAATGTGGTCACATTAAACGACGAGTACTTATAAAAAATTTTTTTTTAATGGCGGGCACTTGGGATGTATTGTCCCATTGGCCTTTAATGCTACTCTCTTCTCGTTACCCAGTGGGCACCTGTGGCGAGGTCACGGCAGTGGAGCAGCGTCGCCAACGTCACACAACCACAAACCCGTTTATAGGGCGGATCACATTCACACAATCACACACAAAGGAGAAAGGACATAGAACACATAGAGAGAAAGAAACATCCATGCCCTTAGCGGGATTCGAACCCGCAACCATCGGCTCGGCAGTCAGGCACGTTAACCACTCGGCCACCTGGTCGACGTATTTATCAAATTAAACTACTACAGTTCATCGTAGAACAGGGTTGGCAGGTTTTTGACATGTGACAGTTTTTGACAGTTTAAACCATGGTTTAAACCGTCACGTCAAAAACCTCACTGTCAAAAATGTCGAAAATGTCAAAAACCTATATTCATATGTGAAATTTAATTAATACATAAAATTTATATATTTTTTATAAAGGATAGTGTTTCTAAATATGTTCTAGAAAAAATAAATTTAAAATTTTGAAGAAACACTTATATTTTGAATAGTAACCAAAATCTTGTACTTTTGAAAGCTCACATCTTTTGTAATATTATGTATTCATTTTCATGTGTTATTGAAAATCTGCAGTGATATTATTAAGAAATTTATTTATAACCAAATTTAGTGTATAGTATAGATTATACTAAAAATTAGACATTTTTAAAGATAAACATTAGCAGTTTTGTACATTAGACATCTTTTAAAGAAAAATCTTTTTAATATTCTTTTAAATCTTCTTAATAATCTTTTTAACATAAGACAATACAAATTTAAGTGCTTTCTGTTAAATACACAGAGTAGTTAGTGTCGATTTACAGTATATTCAGCCTATTCATTTACTATGCTGAAAATTTAGTTTATCCAAATACTTGTGAATTTCATTTTGCTGAATACTATATAGTTTTGTTGAATATCTAAATATTCAGCTGTTGAATAATTACTTCTTGCTTTCAAGATATGCATTATTTGTATTCTTAATACAAGTGGGGAAAAAAAATTAAGAGGTAAAAATTGTTTTAAAATGATAAGTGTAATAATTATAAATAAATATAATAAACAATATGAATTATATTTATCATTATTCACAAATATAACTACTTTTAAATTCAAATTAACATACTGGATAATAAAGATATTCGGTATAACATTAAAAATTTTTTTTATACACTTGTATCAAGTTTGTATTTATACAACATAACTTGTAAGTTCCTTATAAATATTAGTTATATGTTCCTTATATGTCAAAAATGCATAGTAATAAACTTTTAATTTTCTTAAGTATCAAAAAAAAAAAAATTTTTTTTTTAAATATAAATATTTAAACAATTTTTGTGCAAAATTTTTCTGCACATGCATTTGAATATAAATTTCTGAGATTTTAAATCTGTTATTTTACCTTAATTTTAATTAAAAAATATTTTAAAACCTGCTGATTACCTATAGTATAATTAAATTTCAATATAATGCATGGCAACTGTTGGTAGTTTTGAAGTTTATATATTTTCTCGGCAAACTTCAGTTTTTGACGTTTTCGACGGGTTTTTGACGGTTTAAACCAGTATTATACCCTTGTCATGTCAAAAACCACTTTTTGACGTCAAAAAACCAGCCCTGTCGTAGAACTATGAAAATATACTTAATTTAGATACCCAAAAAGAATTTCTGGACTGATTGCAATATGTTCAATAATCAATCTGTCACATAGAGAATTCTTTGAAGAATTTAAAGGAAAAAAATTCCACATCTAAGTCCTTTTAGGAAAAAGTAAAAAATTCATATGGAAATCCTTTTGGAAAAAAGTAAAAAATTCTGCATTAAAAACTCCCATAAGTTTAAAAAGTCAAATATAGCCATAAATTGACACAAAATGTGTCATTCGAGCAGTGGATGATTTCTTGACTTGTCAAAAAGTATTTAACGTTGGCAAGAACCACACATGTTGTTTAATGGTGCTGGTTTCTGTCACCCCTGTCCTGAAGCTATTTTTGTGGCGTCTCAATCTGATCATATGTGAGAGCTATTCTGTACCTGTGTGACGGGTTCTCTTGACCTCTGGGTTCATTTCTCAAACTGGGTAGTTGCTATTCTATGAGTTAGATTTATGAGCACACTACGAGTTCTCTGCAGTGTTGGATCTTACAGGAAGTTGGGTTACACCTTGCGATAGTTTATTATGGATGGTTGACTGAATGTAAACAATAAAAAGCTTCTTAGAACCTGAAGAAATTCAGAAAACTTCCGGTGTATCCCTCCGCTTATCTTATGCTTACGAGGTGATGTGTGAACAGGCTTAATATTCTTGGAAGTTTTATTAATGTGATTTATTTTTTAAATGTACGCGTATTTTTACCATTCATAAGAGTTTCCTGTAATTTATAAATTCTAACTGTTTGTAAGCCTAAAACAAATTGAAGAAAATTAATATCACAACATAAAGTGTAAGATTTGCCATGTTTTGAGTGTTATCCCTTATTTGGCAATACTTGTGTAAAATATTATCGCTAGTTATTTTTTGGGTTGCATGTTGCAGGGTACGCTTGAGGAATCTTCCGAATCCATAAGTTGTTTGTTTCATTTAAATTGACAGAACTCGTTTTATTGTAAACACTACGAGTATAATAATATTGGATGAAGCTCTTTTGCATGCTTAGGCTTAAAAATCGATCGGAAGTTGTAACCCGAAAGTCTTACGACAAATTTTAACCCCTAACATCCTTTGTGCTTAGCTTTACACTGTCAACCATTCATAATTGAACCAAGAGGTAATAATAGATATTTACAGTGTGATACTGAAAACGGCACCCTTAGCTCAATTTTGGAAAAAGAATCTTTAAAAATAAATCCTTGAATTGTCTTGCTGGTGTAATCATAATGCTGTCGCGAAATGTTTTCGTACTCTATCAGATAATTAAGAAATCAATATCAATCCTAAACGTTGATTCGGGAAGCATGTGAGTAAGATAAATTACAATTAATGCATTCTAGGTTAAAAAAGAAAACCGTTAGTTTAATTAATAAGAATATCACCTAAAATATTCTAGAATTAATATTTATATTAAGTAATTTTTCAAGCTTAGGCTTAAAAATCCATCGGAAGTACTAACCCGGAAGGTTTACTACGAATTTTAAGCCCTAGCACCATCTGTGCTTAGCTTTACATGGTCAACTATCCATATATTTGTAATGCTGAGAAAACTGAAGTAATAACATTTTAATTCTTATGCTTTCCAAAGTGGATATTCAACTAGTGGACTAAACTGTTCTTCCGAATCGAAACCTTCATTTGTGATAACATTAAATTCATTGATGTTATAACATTAAATTCATTGATGTTATAACATTAAATAGTGAGCATTGAACGTTGGACAAAAATTACAAGTAACAGTTACGGGGTTCACACTTTTTTAACTCTTGTTTCTTGACTAAGGGCTGAATTTTTTGTGTTGAGGCTTCAACGTATCTTTTGAAATTTCAGATGCGGGATGCATTAAAAAATGGTATGCTTATGAAGACGAAATGCATTTTTGCAAGTAAACTAATATCTAGCGCTATAATAAAAAAGGGATTATTGTCATTAAAAATCTATTTATTATGAAGCTGAAAAGCAATTTACAAGGAATGTATTTTAAACCCACCAAACAAATGGAGGGATCTTTAAAATTAATTTTTCATTATAAATGTTTGTATTTTAATTTATAAAACTTATTTAAAGGATTTACATTTGCAGATTTTTTTTAAAGAAGCACTTGATTATTTAAGTGCTCAAGGTCTTGAAGGGTACTTATCTATCATATAGGTGGGATCTATAGTTATGTTAGATCTATACAGGGTGATCTATTGGTCTTGAAGGATGCTTATCTATTATATAGGTGCTATCAGAGGGGGTTCTATAGTTAGGGTCGCAATTTAAAGCTAAGATTTTGAAAAAGTGGATTATGTAGTATTTCTAACCTGAAAAGAAAACGTATGTTATGTTTTTGGAAATATTAAAAAATGTCTGGAAGAAAAAAAATTACAAAATTCAGCTTAGAAAGAAATGTAAATTTTTTAAAAAAAATAATAATATTCTCACTGTTAATTAATGAAATTTTTTATTATATAGGTACTCTGAAAAGCTTCACAAAGTTGTTTCTGGTTTTGAAAGAAGTTTGTGTTGAAGAACGATGGATGAAAGGAATTCGCAGGAATTTTCCATAAGCAAGACTTCTGTTCATATTAAAGATAAATCTTATTCGTGTGATTTATGTAAAAAGAGTTTCTCTAAAAAAGGTAGTTTAAATAAGCATAACCTCACTCATACGGGAGAGAAGCCTTATTCTTGTGCTAAATGTAGAAGAAGGTTTTGTAGAATAAGTGAATTAATCGAACATAGTCTTGTTCATAGTGGAGAAAAACCTTATCCTTGTAGTGTATGTAATAAGAGTTACTTTAGAAAAAGTTATTTAGTTGCACACACCCTTGTTCATACCGGAGAGAAACCTTATTCTTGTAGTATCTGTAATAAGAGTTTTTCGCGTAATTCGAATTTAACTCGACATATTAGTTCCCATACGGGGGAAAAAAAATTTTCTTGCAATTTATGTGATAAGAGTTTTTCTCAAAAATGTTTATTAGAGGGACACAATCGTATTCATACTGGAGAAAAACCTTATTCTTGTAGTTCATGTGATAAAAGTTTCTCTCAAAAACGATATTTAGACACTCATTTCCGTGTTCATACTGGGGAGAAACCATACTCTTGTACTGTGTGTAGTAAGAATTTCTCTCGGAAGAGTCATTTAAATGCACACTACCTTATTCATACTGGAGAAAAACCTTACTCTTGTAGTATATGTAATATTAGTTTTTTTAGAAAACTTAATTTAGATACACATTATCATCTCCATACTGGGGGAAAGCCTTATTCTTGTAGTATATGTAATAAGAGTTTTTTTCGAAAGGACTGTCTAACGCAACACATTCGCACCCATACTAAAGAAAGATCTTATTCTTGTGATGTGTGTGGTAAAGGTTTTTCCATTAAGTATCAATTAGAACGACATAGTCGTGTCCACACTGGTGAAAAACCTCATTCTTGTAGTATATGTAACAAGAGTTTTTCTCATAAGCATGTTGTAACTAGACATTATCTTGTCCATACGGGTGAAAAACCGTATTCTTGTAGTATATGTAAAAAACGTTTTTCTCAAAGGACACATCTAACTACACACCACAGTCTTGTTCACACTGTCAAAAAAACGTTTTCCTGAGATGAAGCTATCTATTGAAATTTGGAAAAGTATAGAAAATTGGGTATTTGCACTCCAAAAAGAGGAAGACAATCTATACCCACACATGTGACCTATTACGTCAGCTCCCGCTGATCTTCAGCAACAAAGTGGCGTATTAAAGTCGAGCTAAGTTTCCCTACATAACTTAGAATGTTAATTGACTTTAATTAAATAAAGCATCGTATCGTTCATCGAATTTGTTGAAATATAATTTTTTTCTCGACTACTTCTTTTTGCTTAACTTACATTTATTATTTGTTTATGTATTTTATTGTAACCGTGATAGAGTTTTGTGTACCTGGCAACTTCGATGCATAATAAGTTTATGTTCTACATGCCTTCGTGCCTGTCTTTACGTTAAGGAAAGAATATATAGTGAAAGAATTGAAATCCTTGTAAAAGAATATAGTCTGTGTTACTTAAGAGAATTGGTACTTGCCGAGCTTGGCTTACTCGAAATAGAATGGAAAGGGCAGTTGCTAACGTAAGCAAACGCCACGTTACAACAACCAATCAGGATCGAGATACCCACACTATGTTTTTTGCAAATATCAAATTGCACATCTGGAATAAAAAATATTTACTAATTTAATTTGAAGGATATGAACTATTGTAGTTTTCTACATCCTTCAGAATTGTAATGAAATAGTCTAAACTTTTTATAAATTAATTTATAATATGACCTAACAAACCATGTAATTATATTTAATAAAATAAATTCTTTTAATAATTATTAAAATAAAGTTGTTCTGAGAAACAAACAGAAATTACCTTGCTTTTTAGGTATGTTTATATTTAAGCTTTTAAAATAATGCATAAACTATTCATTTTATGAAATAGTCGGAATCATTAATATTACATTCACGAAATTTTACTGCTATCACAATTTAAATAAAATGAACGAAACTGTTCTCTCTCGTAACAGACCGACTTGTGGGAAACCAAATTTTTACCAGATATTTTAGTAAAATATGTATTTTAATAAAATATGTAATAATATGTAGCAGTTTATATTGTATTGGTTACCGTTCGAAATGAGTTTTCATTTGGAAACCACCCAGCATCGGAATTCGACAAGACCTCTATCCTCGCCATCTTGAATTTTAGATTTTGATTTGCTTTTTCTAGATATTTTTTCGTTCTTTGTACCTAAAATTTTGATGATATTCAATTGGTACAACAGCACAATTGATATGTAGCATTATATATTGTATTGGTTACTCGCCATCTACCGTTCGGGATGAGTTTTCGTGTGGAAACCAACCAGCATCGGAATTCGACGAGACCTCTATCCTCGCCATCTTGGATTTTATATTTTGATTTGCTTTTTCCAGATATTTTTTTTTCTTTGTACCTAAACTTTTGATGATATACAATTGGTACAACAGCACAATTGATATGTAGCATTATATATTGTATTGGTTACTCGCCATCTACCGTTCGGGATGAGTTTTCATGTGGAAACCACCCAGCATCGGAATTCGACGAGACCTCTATCCTCGCAATCTTGGATTTTAGATATTGATTTGCTTTTTCTAGATATTGATTTGCTTTTTCTAGATATTTTTTCTTTCTTTGTACCTAAAATTTTGATGATATTCAATTGGTATGACAGCACAATTGAAATGTAGCATTATTTATTGTATTGTATACTCGTCATCTACCGTTCCAAACGAGTTTTCATTTGGAGACCACCCAGCATCGGATTTCGACGAGACCTCTATCCTCACCATCTTGGATTTTAAATTCTGATTTGCTTTTTCTAGATATTTTTTCTTTCTTTGTACCTAAAATTTTGATGATATTCAATTGGTATGACAGCACAATTGAAATGTAGCATTATTTATTGTATTGTATACTCGTCATCTACCGTTCCAAACGAGTTTTCATTTGGAGACCACCCAGCATCGGATTTCGACGAGACCTCTATCCTCACCATCTTGGATTTTAAATTCTGATTTGCTTTTTCTAGATATTTTTTCTTTCTTTGTACCTAAAATTTTGATGATATTCAATTGGTATGACAGCACAATTGAAATGTAGCATTATTTATTGTATTGTATACTCGTCATCTACCGTTCCAAACGAGTTTTCATTTGGAGACCACCCAGCATCGGATTTCGACGAGACCTCTATCCTCACCATCTTGGATTTTAAATTCTGATTTGCTTTTTCTAGATATTTTTTCTTTCTTTGTACCTAAAATTTTGATGATATTCAATTGGTATGACAGCACAATTGAAATGTAGCATTATTTATTGTATTGTATACTCGTCATCTACCGTTCCAAACGAGTTTTCATTTGGAGACCACCCAGCATCGGATTTCGACGAGACCTCTATCCTCACCATCTTGGATTTTAAATTCTGATTTGCTTTTTCTAGATATTTTTTCTTTCTTTGTACCTAAAATTTTGAT